TATATATATATATATATATATATATATTCAAAAATGACTTATTATTTGTCTTGTAAAAAGAATCACACACAGTCAAATGAAATGACCATCATATCAATTCACAACAAATTGCCTCCAACACCAACATTGCGAAAACTATCCTCAAAACTCAAACTTAAGAGGCGTTTGAAACAAGCCATGGAATCTGAAAGCTATGGCGTTTTTGCCTGAAACAGCCAACACATAACAATTAATTAACTGAAAAGTATAACTTTTGACTTGAGGAACCTGATAAAAAGACTTAGGGATTGTTTCTTTTTTTCTTTCCACTAGGTTAAGTGGCTAAATAGGAAATGATGTATATCTGGATAAAGTGTTGTATGCATAACATATGGTTTGTTTCTTTCTTGTCTGAATGAGACTAAATGACCATTTTACCCTTACATTTCAAAAAACAAATTTCACAATATTCACCAATTTTAACGAGAGAGTTGGGATGGTTAGCGTCTTAATACATTAAGCCAGATGTTTCTATTTTTAGTTAATGCAGAAAGAATGACTTAATATAGAAAACAATGAAAATTAGCTTTCACCATTAACTCCAAACTTTTACAAACTTTCTCAAATATATTTTAAAACATCATTCATTCACAGTCTCCAAAAATACCTTTTGAGATACTTCTTGTGAATCTTCATGGCCCCTGTGCAAGTTTTCTTGGCATCCATATTCCCAGAAATGTCATTTAATATCTGCACAAACAAAACCAAAAAAATTCAAGAAAACCTCATCACGTAAAATAAAAGACATTTTTTGTTTTTTTTAATTTTGGGTTTAAGTTCTCTAAATAAAGTCAAAGGGTTGACCTTTACAACATCATCTAGTCCTCTAGCTTCAGTCAACAACTTGTCACTCCTGTCCTTAAGGACACTTGCTACAAGAAAAACAGAAATCGGGAGAGGTGAAACGGATCCGGGTTCGGGTTCGGATCCGGGTTTGACCCGGGCCCGGTTTCTCCTATTTGCTCTTTCATACTTCCCATATTGGCGAATGGCTTTTCTTTTCAATCTAAGAGTATCTGATTTACTGTTTGTTTCATCTCCTCCCTCATACAATGAGAAAAGCTCTGGATTGTATTCCAAAGCCCACATCATCTGTTGGGGTTCAAAATACAAAATCATACAAACTTCAAGGTCAAAATCATAAATAAATTAAAAAAAAAAAAAAATTATGATTTTATGGTATAACTTTTATCACCTCCCATAAGTACAATGAATCTCCAAAAGAAAGTTCTCTTCTGAACAGCACCATAAGCATCCGGAATGCAAATAGGTATCCACCTCCACCTAGGTGTTCTGTAATTGTACATTTAAAAATGAGAAAAGAATTCACAACATATTTGTAATTTAAATCAAAAATATTTGAAACTTTACCTAAGTGTCTATGAAGTTTAGGATCAACAACTTGAGTAACATTAGCCAAGCTATCAAGTTGTGTCTCTACCCCAACTGAATTTCCTGTGCACCTGAAATTCCCTCTCTTCAAGGGTATAAAAAATTATTAATCATCAAGAAATTATAAATAAATAAAATTGGGCGAAAATATATATATATACACTTACTAATCTTCGCATTAAACGTTCAAAGCACCAAAAAGCATCTGCTTCATCTTCAAGAAGCATAATCATGGGGGAGCAAAGATCACTCATTCCTGATTTGTGTATTGGGGTTAAAATTGGAATCTTGAAAGATAATAAATATAAATGTTTGATGATATAAATATATAATCAAATACCTTGACCATAACCGACATCTTTATCAAACCAAGCATAGACTGCAAGAATATCCCAAAGTTTTGCCAAATTTTCTTGTTTTTCATAAAACATTAGTGTTCTGTCTGTGCGAACCACATCAAGACCTGATAAATTTGTAATTCAAAAGAAGACAAGTTATATAATACTTTTTTTTTTTTAAAAACAAAAAAAAAAAAGGTAAACTGAGACCTATTATAGATTGAACTGAATTTGATGCAATTTTTTTGGCTACCAAGGTGTTGTATCTTTTTGACTTAATGAACTTAATGAGGACTGGATAATAATCTGCTAAAGTTTCTTTTTGGGTTAAAAAAAATTGACAATTGACCATTTTTCCAACAGTTATCAGAAAAAAAAAACCACCCATTTTGCAAAGTGGATTTTGCAATTTTCGAAATTGCTTTAGTAAGGGCCCCACCACATTAAAAGAAACTTAAAAAGGTGAAAAAAGATGTGATTTTCTTTGCGAAATGACAGCATCATCTCGCAAAATATTATGTCATTTTGCAAAACGGTTGGTTATTTTGTGATAAATGTTTAAAAAAAATGGTCATTTTCATAAAAACATCCTCCCGATTTGGCCATTTTTGTGATTAACCATTCTTCTTTGACTTAAAGTGAAAGAAAAGAATGACCTAATAGAGAAAGTCAGGGAAATGAGGCTTTACCCATTAATTCCTAACTTCTTTTTATCCAAATAACACTTTATCTAGACAACACTTAATGGGGAAAAAAGGAAGAGGGACTAAGACATGGTATAAAATAATATGCAAACAGATAAATAAATAAATAAATAAACAAATATATAGTTACATGATTCATAGGAAGCATGTGATTATATTTCTATATATCAACCTATTTGATGTAGAGCCAGCTTCCACTGAATTATTTCCTTGTCATGCTCCCGAGCAACTGCAGATACACAAGTCAGTGCATTTTATTGATAAGAAACTCAAACGAGCATTAATAAATTTATGGCTCAAGAAATTTAAAATTACCAGTTTCTTCAGATTGCAATGTTGGAGGCTTTTCAGGATTTGTTCCTAAATCCACATTAGGATCTTGAATTAGATCCCCATTTGCTGTGATCACACGTGCTGTGATGAATTTCCCACTTCCAACAGTGGGAAACATTCGGCTACATGATTCTTTCAACTCAGCATATTGCTCCCTGAAGACATAAAGAAAATATAAAATTGAAAGTAAACCAAAAGTTACCTATTTACCCTTATCATGATCTTATTCATGGCATTTGATTGGGTCAAAAAGCATACATTTTTTTCCCTTTATTGAGCAGTATTTTGGATATTTGACACATAAGTTCATTGGTAGATATATTATAAGAAGAAAAGATAATATTACCTTCGTCTTTGTCGTATTTGTTCTCGTTCTTCAAATGTGCTTTTATGATCATAACAACCGAGAAGAATTTCCCACACTTCTCCTCTAATTGATGGATGAATCCCCTTATTTTCATCAATGTACATGAACAAAAGGTCAATGAAAAACAAATAAACAAGACAAAACAATGTATAACAAGTCGTATTGTGTTTTGTTTTTCATTGTGATTTGCGTGCATTGGACTAAGACTATGTCAGAGGACAAAAGAAACAACTTTTTGGACTCACTCTTGACCTTTGTTCATTGCAAAAGACTTAAATACCCTCCTCATCATCATCGTATCCCTAAACAAATTTGAGGTGAGATGTAGAGAACTTACTCCATGATAGATTCGACTAAGGCACTTGCCTATATCAAGACAACCTTCATCTGTAAATGAAGCCCGCCACCTTTTTTCACTAAGTGTCTTTCCGGCCTTAATAAGTTGATAAAAAAATTGAGAAGCTTTAGTAACAATTTCAAGAAACCGATCATGATGATGACAATTGAAATATACAAGTAAGAAATAATATGTAGATTAACTAAATCTATCAACATCAAAGAAAGTCACATCCCAAAAGTAATTACAAGTGCTAATTTCTCCTGCTAGATTAACTAATTCATCAAAAAACACCAGAATCAATCAAACAGCTGGCGTAGGATTATTGAAGATCGAATAATACTGCCTAAAAACAACAAAAGTTTCAGAAAAAAAAAAAAAAAAAAAGCTAGAACATAATGAATTAAACAGAGCAGAAAGCAAGAATTTCACCAATATAAGATCGTTCGATAGGGCAATTACCCAACTGGGTTAATTGGCTAACAAAATTGATCCGATCCTTAAAATGAAGAAAGGGTTTTACCTTGATTCTAAAATTGGTTTTGGGACCATCGGAAAATCCAGCTCGAACCTCGTAGAATGAATCAGTTGGTAGACCTGGGTCTTTTCGTAAAATGTTCATCATCTATTGCAAACTTTTTTTCTTCAAAACCAGATCTAATAATGGGGGGTTTTGATTTTTGATAATCTTGATATCAAATCAATTGATTGAAGGGCAACAGCAACAGCAACACCCACCCCGTCCACAACCACCTCAAGAAACAAAAACCCAAATGAGATCTTGACACACAAGAATTAAGGGCGATGGCGCCAAAGTTGTTTCGGTTGGGTGGTGGTGAGGAAGGGGTGGCGTAAGGGAGGAGGTGGTGGTGTGGTGGTCGTTGGTGGTTGGAGGTTGGTTAGCGCTCCTACCTGTCTATACAAGTTGTATACTTGTATAGAAAGGAGAAGAGGCCGCGGTCAATGTATTGACCTTCTTCATCGTTCCCTCCAGGCCACCATCGATTCAGTCGTTTTAATGTTTTCCCGTCAAAATCATATAGTTGAAAATTTTAGTGCGTTGGTGAAAAAAATCATGTGATGTTACTCTCTTTATTAAATTTGAGAAAACATTTATTTATTAAATAACATTCTTATTTTAAAGATTTTGCCTGTTTAGTTAAAAAAATTCTATTTATATCCATATTTTCTTTTAATAATTCATGTAACAGTAAATTTTCAATATAAAAGTTAGAAGTTAATGCCCAACAGAGTACAAGCCCCGCACACAACATGGAGGTGACCTGACACCAGGGCTGGTCCCGAGAATTCAAATGCCCAGGACAAACCGGAAAAAAAAGACCCTTAGGCCTTAAAGTGTAACGAATTAAAATTACATAAACTAATATTTTTTTTAAAACGACGATAAACTTTATAGCAATAAACATAACAAAATCATAGTATTTTAATGAATAATTACATATCGTAACAGTTAATCGACGATCCGTGAAGCTCTCCTAGCGTTATTGATAGCAAATTGGTTGAGCAACTCTTCGTAGTCTATACTCTCTAAGATTTCGTTATCGATAGATATCATCGTCAAACCACTAAGTCTTTCTTGGGACATTGTGGAGTGTAAGTAAGACTTCAATAACTTCAACTTAGAAAAACTCATTTCTGCAGATGTCACCGTTACTGAAATAGTCAACAATATTCTATATGCAATGCTTGCATTTGGGAAATAATCAAGTTCTTTCAAAAGCTTCAAAACATCTATAGGGTTGCTAAATTCATTGGTTTCCAATGTCTCAAATAATTTCAACTTTGTATAAAGTTCATCGGCATCAATATCCGATCTTTCTTCAAACCTGAGTGCTTTTTCAAGACGACTTAAGATCTTTATCTTCAATTCCCTTCAAATTATGTGGAAATAAAAAACCAAATATTTTGTCATACTCTTTGAATTGTTCAAATCTTGTCTCAAGAGAAGAAATAGTTTGATCAACAATGTATAAGAAATAATTAACTCTGAAATTCTCTTCAGGTGTAAATAAAACTTCTTCTCTACTTGAACTCTCACCAAACCTTTTTTTCCTTTCAATCAAACGCTTTTGTGGAAATATTGGATCAATACCCATTTCGATAGCAATGTCCTTAGCTTCATCAATCGCTTTTAAAAAACCAGTTTCTCTATAATCCTTGAAGTAACCAATCAATTTGTTTATTTATGTAATAACATTATCAAGATGCATATCCTTTGACTGTAACTTTTTACTCACAATATTCACATGGTTTAGCACTTCATGCCAGATAACAGTTGATACCAAAAATTCAAAGTCACCAAGTTCTTTTTCTGCTAGTGAAGTTGCTTCACTTGCAATTGCAGCATCATTATCTTTTTCTCTAACTTGAAGTAAGGCTTCTCGTACGTCAACAAGTTGCATTTTAATAGCCTTTACACTCTCAACTCGGCTTTCCCAACAAGTTTGACACAATGACTTAAGACTCCAAGCTTTTACATTATCTTTTAGGATTTCCCACCTCTTAGTAGAATT